ATGGGTCCCTTAACTGCTGGAGCCTGGGTGGAAGAGGCTGCTGGGACCAGTCTAGCAGCCAAGCTGGACCAAGGAGTATATATTTTTTATTTTAGACCCAGGACCAAAATAAGCACTTAACCCTTACAGTGTGGGGGCAGCTTCCCCAAGTTATCCTTTAAAAAAATACCTATTTTCTTATGGTATGTCACTATAAATAATCTTTGTTTTTTTACCTGTCTATAATCCCCTATGTTTGTAGGGGCTTTAAAAATATCCATTGTGCTCTTGGAGAATTGTTAACATTTTGCTTGCTGCCATGGGAGAAGGCACCAAGGTACAGAGAATGCTTTGAATACACAAACATGATGTAACAACATATAGATAAATATATAACACTGTGTCCAATAAGGCAACTTACACAATTTGATTCAACATTCAAAGTCAGTACATTAAAGAGAATCTGCCAGTCATCCATTACCTGTCACAGAGGCTCTTCTGCAGTTCTGAAGGCTGCCATCATCAAATAAGTGGGGTCGTATGATGGAAGCCTACAGCTCTGAACACGAGTCTGTACTAAAACAGACAATTATGGGAAGTATGGAGACTTCCAGTGCTGTTCTATTCCTCTAAATTTGCTAGTTTTTTGGGCTATTATAGTGAATGTGATCAAATGGCTTCAATGCTCTGTAAGTCTGATCCGACTCTGTTCCCAGATAGTAGTGAAACCAAAGAGAACAAGGCAGCTAGCATTTTCAGCACATCAGCAATGGGATAATTCTCAGCCATACTGTTAAATGTACAGATCAAATACATAGAAATGACCTGTTTTATCAGCCAAAGGACTTATATTTCAGTTCATCCAGTCCTAAGGTTTACACAGCCCTGTCACACAGCACAGCTACGTAGATGACACCATAAGAAATACAGTGGTGTCATCTCCCCACCCCCAACCTGCGGATTGCACAGTGAAAGAGGAGAAGACCAACGGGGTAATCTCTCTTCTCTTTCCTCCTATCATTACCTTCCTTATTAATGCATTTGCATGCAGCACAACTGGCTCACATTCCTGCCCCCCAGCTTCCAGCTTCTGTACAGGGGATCGCAAGAGGCTGATATCAAGTGAAATTCATGTACTTAAACTAGTTGCAGTTAATTTTAAAAAATATATAAATGTAATGATTATATTGATTGTAACCCAGTCAGGCAGGCCTGTGGACTACATAGTTCTTAGAAGATCTAGATGACATTGTTCAACCAGATTATAACATGTAAGGTCAGTTTTAGATTTTATCTTTGGCTTATGGGCAATGTAGGGATGCACCGATACTTTTCGAGTACCAGTGCAGATACTTGGCATTTTCACGAGAACTACCAGGGTTGCAGTGGTTGTAGCTGTGACCTGGCTCTGGTGCTCCACCACTGTCCTGAAATCATTAGTCTGTATTGTTTTAGAAAAACTGTCTCATGACAATAAACAAAAATGTATCAGTACTTGTATCTGTGAGTACTTGGGCAAGTATCAGTACTTGTACTCGCAAAACTGGTATCAGTGTATCCCTTTGTATATATTTATAAAAAGAAAATCAAACATTAAAACAGAGATGTACAAATCCCAGGAGCTCCGTGTGTTCCTTACAAATGACAGCTGCCTCCTAACTTTTACATTTTTCTCTAGTCTAGTCTTGGAGCTCGAAAAGTATCTGTACTTGTACTTGTACTTGCACCGAGCACTATACTTGGTATCGGTGCATCCCTAGCAATCAGTAATACGAATTCTGCTTGAATGCTATGGGATTCTTCTTCTTATTATTACTGTTGAGTACAATTCTGAACCATAATTACGTTTCTACCCAAAGCCAAAAGCATGACTGTTAACTAAAACAAAGATCCCACTTTGTATTCAGAGAAAGTGCTAACAAACATAAAGAATCCTGAAAACATTCTATGACCCTTTTACCAAGAGCCAAGTAACAGAGGTAATGCCTTGGATGCCAAGAGCTGAGGCTTAGACCGAATGAGCGACCACTGTGCCACAGGAATGCAATTCTCGCTCCATTCTCATCTCTGTTTTAAGAACTGTAATTTCTAACTATAGTGATCAATATGTAGCTATATTATATACTCTATTGGGTGCACTTGGATTCATTGTACAGTAGACCATGGGCTAAATTTGATGCATGCCCCCTCCCCAGTTTATTTAGATCGTACATAAAGGACATAGACATTTGTGTTTTTCTTCAGTCATATCATGGGATTGTGAAGCATTTCTTGGCATTGTGAAGAATTTCTGAAGGATTTGGAATGCACTGTTGGGTCTTATATGATGCTATACACTCGAAGGATTTGGAATGCACTGTTGGGTCTTATATGATGCTATACACTCGAAGGATGTGGAATGCACTGTTGGGTCTTATATGATGCTATACACTCGAAGGATGTGGAATGCACTGTTGGGTCTTATATGATGCTATACAGTCTTTGTGATGGTCCCTGGTGAAATGGAAGCAATGCTTCAAGCTATGGGAAATGTGCATGTGTTTTGTCCATGATCATTTGCTTACAATAAAGAAAACCTTTACCAAGAGCAATACAAAGGCTGCTATTCCTGACCATCTTTTTTTTACAAAAGAGTGTTAAAACAGAACTTTGGGCAAAAACACTGTGAGAGAAAATGAAGACTAATGAAGCGCGTGTACCGAGTGGCGTAGAGTATGGAGGGGAAATTAAACTATTGAAAGAAATGAAAGTTTTCAGGGCCGGGCATCCAATGCGGAAACTTCACAGATCACAGCGGGTCAATTGCTCTGCTGTTCCCCCATTCCAGCACACGCTGAATTCAGGCCAAAAACAGTTTTTGGCCATTTGCACTGTAAAAATAAATGAACATTAATGACGTGTGCAATGTGTGGCTGCTGCTGCATTATCAAATACTCTTATTTTCATTCCACCCTTACTGTATAGTAAGTTCTGAACATCCAGCGCTGAAACTTAGAGCTCTGGGTGGAGTTGACAGATCACGGGTTGCTCACTCTGCAGCTTGTCCATTCTTTTCAATGTATGCAAGGCTGTCTGTGATTGGACGAGGGGAGATCATGACATTCATGCGCATCGCCTCCAATCACAGAACACCTTGCATTCATTGAAAAGAATGAGCAAGCAACCCGTGAGCTGTGTACTCCAGCCAGAACTCTAAGTTTCAGTGCTATAGATTCAGCACTTACTATACATTAAGGGTGGAATGAAAGTAAGAGTATTACACCATGCAGCAGCAGCCACACATTGCACACATGTCATTAAAGCACAACTCTGGGCACAATTTTTACTAACCCTTGCAGTCGGGCTACCCCCGCACTGCAAGGGTTAACTGCTCCTTTTTTTTGGTCTAGGTTAAAAAAAATAAAGTTATACTCACCCGATCCTCGGAGATGGTTGGCTCTTAGACCGTTCCTGGAGCCTCTGCTCCAGTTGCAGTGGTCTATGGTCACTGAGTCATCACGTTCTATGCACAGTGTATAGGATGTGCGGAGGCTGAGGGACATATCGCTGCAGCGGTCTAAGGTCCCTGAGTCATCAAGTTCTATGCACAGTGTATAGAATGTGTGGATGTTGAGGGACATACTATCACTGCAGCGGTTAAAGGTCCCTGAGTCATCACGTTCTATGCACAGTGTATAGGATGTGAGGATGCTGAGGGACATACTATCGCTGCAGTGGTCTAAGGACCCTGATTCATCATGTTCTATACACAGTCACACAGTGTATAGGATGTGAGGATGCTGAGGGACATACCATCGCTGCAGCGGCCTAAGCTCCCTGAGTCATCACGTTTTATGCACAGTGTATAAGTTGTAAGGATACTGAGGGACATACCATCACTGCAGCGTTCTAAGCTCTCTGAGTCATCACGTTTTATGCACAGTGTATAAGTTGTGAGGATACAGAGGGACATACCATCGCTGCAGCGGCCTAAGCTCCCTGAGTCATCGCGTTTTATGCACAGTGTATAAGTTGTGTGGATGTTGAGGGACATACCATCGCTGCAGCGGCCTAAGCTCCCTGAGTCATCGCGTTTTATGCACAGTGTATAAGTTGTGAGGATACTGAGGGACATACCATCACTGCAGCGTTCTACTTTCTAAGCTCCCTGAGTCATCACGTTCTATGCACAGTGTATAGGTTGTGAGGATGCTGAGGGACATACCATCGATGCAGAGTTCTAAGGTCCCTGAGTCATCACATTCTATACACAGTATCGGACATGAGGATGCTGATTGAAATCCTATTGCTGCAGCATAGGAGAGATGCTGGAGGGAGCACTGTAGGAGCCATCCGTCTCAGAGATTTGGGTGCGTATAACTTTTTGTAATTTTGTACCTAGACCAAAACAAGCACTTTACATTAATACAGAACTCCAGCCACACATTTTTTTTAACCCTTGCAGTGGGGTTACCCCTGCACTGCAAGGGTTAAAAACATTTGTGGCTGGAATTGTGCTTTAATGTCCATTTTTTTTACAGAGCAAATGGCCAAAAATGTCATTCAACCTCATGATAGATCCCTAAAGCTAGATCTGGCTTACTAAGAACACTGAAGTGCCAATGGTTTTTTTCGCCTCCCTATGAACCCCATAGAGTCTGGGGCAGCTGCCTGTTCAGCCTTATTTAGAATCTTCCCGTGTCTCCTGCACCAATATCCTACTATAGTCCCAATTCGTGGATCTTTACCTTAGCCACGTGACTGTCACTCTGAAATCTCATTGGCCTGAAAATAAATGTGAGTTTGTTTTTAATAAGGATCCTTATTCTGATCTGTTGTCTTCACGAACTGAGCCTTATGCCAGGTAAACTTTGCCAAGCAATGCACAAAGACCAGAAATGGAGTTTCAGTAAACAATAGATGATGCAAGTCACCCACTCATCATTGCCATATAAAGCCCCCCCCCCGTTTATACAATGAATAGGATGTATGAAATGACACCCCGAATGGGGGTGCTGTCCAAGGTGCTGGATGCCACTTACCGGTCAGGCTCCTCAGCACTGTCCCGTGCGCCCATAGGCTCAGGACTTGCTGTACAGACAGGTTGATCATTGACAGGTCCTCCTTCTCCGCTTTCATGATCGTCGGCTAGCAGGGTGCTGGAGGAAGACGGGGAGCTGTGAGTCCCTGGGCTCCCGGATAGCTGCTGCTCCTCCTCCTCCAGCAGCAGCACAAGCAGCTCAAGCAGCAAGACACCAAGCAAGGATGGCCTGGGGATGAGCGGGGGGCGCAGCTGGACCGGGGAGGAAAAGCAGCCTCGCAGGGGAGACATTGAGGAAGAGGACGATTGTTGCAAGGTACCCCTAGCCTTGTGTGACTAGCTCCTCCAGCCAGACAGTGAGCCGCTACCGCTGGAAGCTGCCACCAGCCACCGACCTTTCACTTGTGTGTGTGCGATGCCAGCCTGCATCCTCCTCCTCCACCACCACCACCATCATCATCATTAGCATCAGCTGTCCCCTCCTTCCTCCCATCATCATCGTCACCCGAGTCACCATCATCATCCTGGAGGAGGAGACTGGTAGCCTCTGGATGGAGCATCCCTTCTTTTATTCCAGGGGCTCCTGTCATTCCCACCTTTCCTGGTTACATGCATAGTCCAGATTTGCAAGAAAATGAATAAAGGCACATTAATAAGGCACGTTAATAAAAGGAAAAAATTTGCATTTATTTTTATTTTTTTGCACTTAAGATCACAAAGCATTGCAACCATGATCAGTGGATGGCGGGTGCAATGCTCAGGCTCCTGCAGACTCTTCCTCCCAGCCCCAGGGTCATATAGGGGTACGGAATTTTAGTTGCGGGACAGGAGGAAGTATTAATGTATCAAGTATCAATGGACCACAATTGTGGTAAAGTCACCAGGTAGAGGGGCGCAGTGCAGGTACCTACTGTGCCTAATTACTGGAGTTGCGTCAAGTTACAACACCAGCAATAGTAAGGAGGGTGCATTCTACACAAAATGCACCCTCCTGCTCCAAGACCAGCGGCGCCTAGAGGAACCGCAGGGGAAGGACCCCATCACTGCGTAAGGCTGCTCTGTAAAATGGCTGTCTCATGCGGGCAGGTGTTGAGGGTAGCCTTACGTGACGTCAGGGTGCTTCTCTGCATATGTGAAAGCCGGTGGGTCCCACAGAAGGTAAGGGCACCGGCTAAGGCTAAACAGATTTCCATTTGTGCATACAGGCGCCCGAAATGGAAATCTGGCGCTGGACGTCAACACACTTGTCCTCCATTGAGAATTACGAGTCCCTCTGCCACGGTCGCAGACCAGAATTGTAGTCTCTCCATTCACAAAGCCTGTCAGAAACTGTCGGTGGGTTGTGTTACCTCCAACGTTCTGCCTAGCTCACTGACGTGAATGGTTACCAGGATCTGGGTGGAACACCAGCCAGAGTGTCCTGCTCAGCTCCTGGCAACTAGCGACATCATTAGTTGCCACAAACTGGGGGGTGACACCAGCCAGAGTGTCCCATTTACCTTGTAGCAACCAGTGACCTCACTGGTTGCCATGAACTGGGCAGGACACCAGCCAGAGGGTCCTGGTCAGCTCCTGGCAAACAGTGAGGTCACTGGTTGCCATGAACTGGGCAGGACGTCAGCCAGAGGGTCCTAGTCAGCTTCTGGCAACCAGTGGCGACACTGGTTGTCATGAGATTGGCGGAACATTGGCAGGTGTTGCCACTGGTTGCCAGAAGCTGACTAGGACCCTCTGGCTGACGTCCTGCCCAGTTCGTGGCAACCAGTGAATGCTTTTTAATATGTTTCTTTGGGGCTTAACAAAATGGGAGTCTTTATTGGAAAAAATGGGTGTGGTTACTGAGGAGTGTAAAGCTTTCTTCCACAAGGCGCCTAAAGGCCTAAGCCGTACATTGGCTGCCTTCAGTCAGCTGAACAAGCTCTGAATGTTCGGGTGAGCCGAAGTGCAGAAAGACTTCAACTTAGCCAATCCAACATGTGGATCGGCTGAGCCTATTCTTATAGGGGCCGAACGGCAGTAAGTGAATAGACGAATGCTCGGCTCGACTATTCTGTACAGTACCTCTGAGGTTCCAAGCTGAATAGCAAGCCAGTTAAGTGTGTAGCGCTCACCCCCAAAGGAGCCGCTGAATGCCCAGTTCTTCTCTAGTCTGTATAGGGCAGGGGTCAGCAACCCACGGCCACTGAGCCACGTGTGGCTCTTTCATCCCTCTGGTGCGGCTCCCTGTCCAGAGGCGGAACTAATGTAATCCTGCCCCAGTTTTTTGGAGGTGGAATGTGTGACCGCTGTTCACGGATTTAAAATATGAGGATTTAGTTATATTCTCATTCATATTAGTGTTATTTCACTCACCTTTTAGCGCTGTGTTATCACTTTAAATAGAGGGTGGAGGAGGCCAGGCCCCAGCAGCAGCAGATAAGAGGAGTTGGGAGTAGGTACAGGGAAAGGGACCCCGACGACCAGCCCACCTGAGACCCTGCAGAGCCCACCATAGAGAGTCTCAGATGGGCTGTGCAGGATCTATGGTGTGCTCTGCAGTGTCACTCTTAGGTGGTCTTTGCGGGGTCTCAGGTAAGTCCAGTGGCTCCCGGTGTTTTCTTTTCTGTGGGAAATGGGTCCAAATGGCTCTTTGAGTGTTTAAGGTTGCTGACCCTGGTCTAGGGTATGTTCTTCATCTGCCCACCCATTAGCATTAACCGCCCTTCTTCTAGTGCCCACCAACTGACGTCCACTTCAGTAGTAAAATGCTGAATAACGTTTTATCGAACATCTTCACTGGGGAGAGAGGGTATAGGGGTTCTAAGCGTGCAGGGGTAACTGACAAGAGCTCCAGACTCACCAGACCTGGTTGACATATCAGTGTAGATCCACTTGGGAGGCAGCGGACAGCAACTGATGCAGCAGATAAGCAGGATGAACACGGATCCTCAAAACGCAAAGACACCGGCCATGCTCCTGAAGTCGTCAAGTTCCAGGATACTTCAAGAGCCAGCATTGGTCCTGGGTCTCTTCCTCTATCAGCATCACAGGTCTCTTCCATGTTGGAGGCCTCAGGGAAACCTTTCCCTCACACCAGCCCATGCCCACCCCCAGGCCCTAGGCCTAGCCTGGGGGGCAGGCTTAACAGCACCCAGCCTTATTCCATGGCTGGTCCCTGCTAGTCTGAGCACATGGCAAATCCCTCCAGTATATGTACCATATCCCAGCATGCACCACTGGTTGAGAGAAACCCAGTGATTGGCTGCTGTACTGTACATACACTACAGTGTCTCCCATTGGCTGTCCCACAATATTACAGATTCACACTCTGCCCAGGGGGGTACAGGCAATGCCAGACACCTGGAATTAACCAGGTAATTGCCACTATAAATCCAGCCAGGCTGACTACAGCTGTCAAATGCATGGAGATCAGTCAGCTTCGGACTACCTTTATTCATGCTTCGGCTGTCACTTCGGCTCAGACGAGGCAAAGCATATGCCTTCGGCTCAGCTGAGCCACTCGGCTGCCATCGGCTGCTGTACGGGCTATTGTGAATAGCCCGTACAGCAGCCTTCGGTTCGACTCAACCGAAGGGCAGAGGCGGCCGAAGTATCAGCCAAAGCTATGGCTGGATCCTTCAGCTCCATTGTGTATAACCCCCTAAAACTTTTAGACATCGAGAAGCAACATCTATTATTCACTGAGTGGCCAGATTATTATGACCACCTGATGTTTGTAGGCAAATTAGCTATAATTTCATGCTGAAATTGCTAGAGGGCCAGACCATTATAAATAGGGAAGCAGGTTGTTTACCACGACAGTAGAAGTGATTTTTTTCTGAAGATATGGGTAAACAACACGATTTAACAGCCTTTGAACGTGGGATGATTGTTGGCACTCGGAGCCATGGAGCGAGTATCAGCAAAACAGCTGAATTCGTTAAATGTTCAACAGCAGCTGTTGTTAAAGTGTTTAAAGACTGGACTGTCAGCCGAAAATCTGGGTCTGAAGGTGCGAAATGTGGCCGTCAGAGACTAGTCAATGTTAGGGCAGAACGGAGAGTGGCAAGACTGGTACAAGACAACAGAAGGACAACAGTGCAGTGTCAGATTCCTTGCATCACCTTTCAACATCTCGTAGAGTCACGAGGCGGCCCAACGAAGTCATCTCGTGGTGTCATCTCGTGGCCCAACGAAGTACTGATGGGGTGGTCCTAATAATCTGGCCACTAATATAATCAGCATTTGAAATTGCTTAAAAACTCTTTGACTTTTATTTCACTTTTAGGCACCCTGCTGCACATACCCAATATAGTACAATGCACTTGTGGTTTTGTGCGCAGATGTGAACGAGCTGTGTGCTGGGATATACATACTGCATTGAAAAAAAATGGTGCAGGAACATTTCTTTTGTGTTGCAAGATCATTAGAAATAAATTAGCTGGATTAACATCTTATGCTCAAAAACAATGAGCATGTATTAATGCAACAAAGATTGTAAATGAGACCTTAGAACCTATGCGCAGAGCAGGTAGTTGTCTGCAAGTACTGCTAATTCACTTTATTGCTCCTCGTCTCCTAATCCCGTATTAGCCCTGCAAACTGGCTTTGAGGAGTCTGCAGTATTATTTGTTCACTTAATTGATGACTTGCAGCAGAAGGATGATCCTGGTCAAGTGCAAGCATTCCTCCTCATAAAATATTAAGGATTAAAAAGAAGACACCATGACCATAAAGGGAGAGGAGGATTCAGCAGCACAGCAGTCATGGGACATTTAGCAGGGAACAACAAGAGCCAGTGATGTTCCAGCAGCTAGAACTTCCTGCAAAGTGGGCTGCTGCGAAGAGGAGGGGGTGGATGATGAGGTGATAGACTGCCCATGGATGCCACCAGTTGGAGAGAAAGAAAGTTCTTAAGAAGAGGCAGAGCAACAGCAAGGGCGAGTTTTGTCCAGGGACCGGGGCAGCTTGCAGAGGACTGGAAGGAGCAGCTGTCCTAATTCAACTAGAGGCACTTCCCCACGGGCACAGACCACTGCTATCCCCATGGTTGATCCAAAAAGCTCTGCAGTTTAGGCCAGTTTTAACGTATCTGTGGTCTCCCATTGTGGTCTCCCTCTCCCCCTTACAGAGGATTAGGATGCGCTATGTCAAGTAAGGACTGCAATCTATGCAGAAATCTCCTAGACCCACTTGTTTGTCTCCAACAGCATCCTTCCCATGGCAGGAATCTTTTCTGTAGCATCTGAAGTGGAAGAAAAAATGTCCCCAAGTCACCCCCATGCCTAGCATCTTAATGCCAGCTTGGCAAAACTGCTGACTTTTGAATTTACTCCCATTCCAGTTAATGAATTTAGC